GCAGTGCCACAAACGGTGGCTTAGCCACTGTACCGCAGTGCCAAATCCCAAAATTAAAACACAAAAAGATGAAACACTGATACACACCATCTGTAACAGTAATTAGTTCTGTTACTAATCTTAACATGGCACAATCATTTTTTTTTACTAAGAGAAAAAAGAAGAAACAGGAAGGAAAGAAGTCAGACGCCTGGTCCAGAAGGCATACGAGGGTTCTCTGGGACAGACACTGACCCACAGCCTCCACAGGCTCACTCCACAAGGGGCCTCTGCGAGACGGACTGCCCACAGCCTCCACGGGCTCACTCCCCATGGGCCTCTGCGAGACGGACTGCCCACAGCCTCCACGGGCTCACTCCCCACGGGCCTCTGCGAGACGGACTGCCCACAGCCTCCACGGGCTCACTCCCCATGGGCCTCTGCGAGACGGACTGCCCACAGCCTCCACGGGCTCACTCCCCACGGGCCTCTGCGAGACGGACTGCCCACAGCCTCCACGGGCTCACTCCCCATGGGCCTCTGCGAGACGGACTGCCCACAGCCTCCACGGGCTCACTCCCCACGGGCCTCTGCAAGACAGACACTGGCCCAAGGCCTCCATGGGCTCACTCCACGAGGGGCCTCTGGGAGCAGGGACACCCACTGGTCTCCCTGCTGGGTCATCTGCAGCCTTCTCTGGTGCCCTGGCAGACAGGAAGTAGAGTGACCAGGACACAAATGGCCCTCGCTATGACCTGCCCCAGGCAGCACAACCCCTGTCACTGCAGACTCAGCTTGCACAAAGTCCTGAATTTCTAAGTAAATAACATCAGAGTAAAATATGAACTGTACCATAGCTGGGGCCAGCGCGGTAACACACGCGGTAAGCTGCCACCTCGGCACTGGCAGCCCACGTAGGGATGTACAGAGCAGTTCCAGCTGCTCCACTTCCCACCCAGCTCCCTGCAGAACGGCTCAAGAGCTAGGCTCTGCACCCACGTGGGGACGAGACGAGGCCCGGCCTTCAGCCTGGTGCAGCCCTTGCTGTTGTCACCATTTGGGGAGTGAACCAGTGAAGGGGAGATATTTCTCTCTCTCTCTCTTTATAACTCTTTCAAATAAACTAAAACTTTTTTAAAAAGGGAGAGAGCAAAAACAAAACAAAACAAAAGCAATGCACAAGGGCCGGAGTGGTGGCTCCACAGGCTAATCCTCTTCCCTGTGGTACGGGATCCCATGTGGGCACTGGTTCGTGTCCCTGCAGCCCCATGTCCCATCCAGCTCCCTGCCTGTGGCCTGGGAAGGCAGTCGAGGTCGGCCCAAAGCTTCGGGACCCTGCACCCACGTGGGAGACCCGGAAGAGGCTCCTGGCTTCGGATCAGCTCAGCTCTGACTATTGCAGCCATCTGGGGAGTGAACCAGCAGGTAGAAAACCTTCTTTTTGTATCTTTCCTTCTCTGTAAATCTGCCTTTCCAGTAGAAACAAATTAATGCAAAAGGGGACAGTAGCACAGCCAAGTAAACTGGACAAGGAATCAGGGTCTCTCCTATTCTCTTGCAAATATTAACTAAAATTTAAATATTTAAAATTCTGTATCTCAGCTTTTAAAAAGTACATTCACTATGCTTTTAATATCCTACCTCAGAGAAGATAACACCATCAAACAGCTCTCGCCGGCCTCATGGGGCAGTGCGCGCACCCGGGCAGTGCTGACCACGGGCCACGCCCACTGACACAGCGAGTGGTCAGCGCCACCGCCGTGCAGTCACCCCTGCTTAGGGAACGGCCAGCTCACTTCAGAACAGACCCCCTGCCCCCACTGTCTCCAGTCTCTCCTGAAACAGCAGGCAATGGCTTGAGGTGCTGCGCACCTGCCTCCCACGTGCCAGGCCTGGGCAGTTCTCAGCAGACAGCAGGGTCATCTCCCCCCATCTGCCCCTTCAGTTCAGCAACAGGTGGGGCTGGCAGTGTGGCACAGCATGTTACGGACCACCCCGTGTGAGGGCTCCAGCTCCCCACCAGCACAGCAGACGGGCTCCTGCACCCACACGGGGACCCAGGCGCAGTTCCCAGCAGATGGAAGACTTCTCTCTCCCCAAAACCCTTCCAAACAAATAAATCTTATTTTTTAAAGATTTCTTTCTTTCTACTGGAAAATCAGATTTACAGAGAGACAAACAGAAATAGTTTTGATCCGCTGGTTCACTCCCTAAATGGCCACAACAGCCAGAGCTGAGCTGATCCGAAGCCAGGAGTCAGGAGCTTATTCCAGGTCTCCCACGCAGGTTCAGGGCTTTGGGCCGTCCTCGACCGCTTTCCCAGGCCACAAGCAGGGAGCTGGATGGGAAGTGGAGCTGCCAGGACATGAACCGGCGCCTGTATGGTATCCTGGGCGCGTTCAAGTTGAGGACTCTAGCTGCTAGGCCACCACGCCGGGCCCCAACAATCAAGTTTTTAACATAAATTTTAAAGTCACTCAGGGACAAAACTCTACTGTAACAGCACATTTCTGGATGAAACAGGACAGAATGTATTTATTACCATAGGTAAGTTCCCCAACAATCCCCTTAGATCCAACGCCACATTCAGCTCGACGACAGACCCCAACAAGAGCACCAGAGGCCAGCACTGCGGGGCACCCAGGAGGCCGCTGCCACCAGCACCCCACTCCTTGGTGGGAGCTCCCGAGGCAGCTGTGGCTCCAGCTGGCCATGCGGCCCTCTGGGGAGTGAAGCAGCAGGTGCAAGCTCTGTCTCACCCTTTCTCTAACTGTTGATTCAAGAAGCTGGACAGAAAACAAAGGCAGGACTGGAATCAGGTCCTCTGGCGCGGGAGTGACAGGCGTCAACAACTTGACCTGCAACGCCAGCCACTCTGCATACACACCCCATGGCTTCATGGAAAGACACACTCAGCCTAGCAGTTAGAACAGCCTGTTTCACACTCGCCCCTGGGTGCCCCAGCCCAGCTCTGGTGGCACCTAGGTTCCTGCTGCCACAGGGGGCGCGGGGGGGAAGAACCTGTACTGAACTGCTGAGTCCCCCCGTGGGGCCCACTCCCAGCTGCCACGGGCAGTGTGGACGGAAGCTCTCTCTCAAATAAAACCTAAACAATAAGACAGAGATCGGTAAGCTAACTCCTGACTCTGGGCTCAGTAAGTAATGGAGAAGCAAGAACTCATCCTGCCTTTTTTCTTTTTCTTTTTCTAAAAATTTATTTGGGGTGAGTAACAGCCACTGCCTTCAGCGCCAGTTCCAGTCCTGGCTGCTCCGCCTCCCACCCAGCCCCCTGCTGACGTGCCTGGAAAGCAGCAGAGGCCGGCCTTGGCGCAGCTGCAAGAAGCCAAATCAGAGCACAGCAGCTCTCCGAAACAGCGGGACTGCACAAGAGGGCTTAACCACCATCCCACGCGGGACCCGGGGTCACCACCTGCAGTGCTGCCAGAGCGTATGTGTGCCAGTTAGAACGCCACTTCCTATCCAGCTCCTTGCTAATGCGCCCGAGAAAGCAGTGGAAGATGGCCCAAGTACTTGGGCCCCTGCCTCCTGCCTGGTCCAGCCCAGCTGCTAGCAGCCATCTGGGGAGTAAACCAGCAGATAAAATATGTCTTTCAAATGAAGAAAAAACAAAAGCTATGCTTCAACACAACAGAGTAGTGGGTAAAGAGAAATTTCTCTGTAGAAATATTCTATCTTGGGAGCAGCGTGATGGCATAGCTAAACCACCACCTGTGGCGCTGGCTTCCCATTCGGACACCGGTTTGCGTCCTGACAGCACGAAGCAGCAGAGGACGGCCCAAAGCCTTGGGACCCTGCACCCGCGTGGGAGACCTGGAAGAGGCTCCTGGCTTCGGATCAGCTCAGCTCCAGCTATTGCAGCCAACTGGGAAGTGAACCAGCAGATGGAACATCTCTCTCTCTATATATATATATATACATATACATATATATGTATGTATGTATGTATGTATGTATAAACTTTGCCTTTGCAATAAAAAGTAGTAAATAAATCTTCAAACAAAAAGAAATATTCCAACTAATAAACGGAGTTCCAGCATTGCAATGCCTTCCTCAGGGCCTGCTGGAATGTCCCAGGCACTGAGCATTAAGCAGTGTTAACGAGAGAAGCGCCTACTCCCTGCCCCAAAACTCGAGGCCTGGATCTCTGACCACACCCTTGGATGGAGTTAGCACTTTACAGTAACTCCAAGGCTGAAGCAGCAATCAGGACAAAATCACACCACACGGCTCCTCGGGGCACTGCGCCAGGCTGTATCAATAAACAGACCAGCGCAGGCCAAAGCTGCAGATGCAGAGACTGTCACCCAGGGCCTGCCTGAAACCCGACAGGCCAGGGAGCAGCTTCGCGGTCCCTGGGCCATCGGTCTGAGGGTTCCGCTGAAAGCCTTCAAGCTGCACGGCGTTCCCCAGACACCAGTGACAGGGACCCCGCTTCTGGCTCGGGTTAATCCCTGCTGGAACCGGGCAGCAGCTGTCCACACTGTGCGAGGGTGCGAGGGGGAGGCCAGAGGCCAGGGTCACGCCATGAAACGCCCCGCGCTCATTTCAGGCTCTGCAGCCTTCACGGAACAACGCCAACACGAAACGCCCAGCAGCACGCTGTCAGCTAAGGGAGAGAATGACCTCCAGGGGCAAGCTGTCCCCGGGTGGGCCAGGGCCAGACTCGGATGCACAGACCCAGGCAGCAAAGTGGTGCAAAAGCCGCGAATTCACACACACCCCCGCTCGCTGTAAGCCACAGCAAAACTCTGAAAAGCAGGCCTCACTTGCTCACAAAACCGTTCCAGCTTCCCCCACCAGCCAGAATGAAAATCAACATCTTCGACCGAGCAGGAGCACAGCACCCAGGGCCGGCTCCACCCGGAGCCTCGGCCGCCGTGGCCGCGGCCCAGCACCGACCATCACCGCCTCCGTGCTCGGGCACAGCCACGAGCAGCCGGGGCGCCTCCCCTGCCCCGCTGCCCGGCGCACCGGGAGCCCCTCGGCCCCGCGGGCCTCACCTCACGGCGGGTCCGCTGCCGCAGCCGGCTGGGCCTGGCGCCGGGGCTCGGGCTGCCGCTCCGGGCTCGGGCTGCCGCTCCGCGATCGGGATCGGCCTCCGCCTGCCGCTCCGGACCCCGCTCCGCCCCCGGCCGCAGCCCCGCCCGCCGGCCGCCCACCCTCGCGGCCCGGGAGCCGTGGCCTCAGCCGCTCGCGCTGGGTGCGGCCTGCGTCGCCGCAGCGCAACAAGGCGCCGCCCGATAGGCCCGCCGCGCCACCGCGCCCAGCAACGCGCCCTGCAATTGGCTGCGCCCGCGGAAGGCGGCGGCGCCTCTCGGGCTGCGCGGGCCCCTCGGTGCGGAGCCGCCCCGCCCGTGGGCTGCGGTCCGCTGCGGGGCTGGCGCGCTGGTGGCCTCCGGAGGGCGGACGCCGAGTCCCAGCGTGGTCGGGCGGGCTCGCGGAGCCGCCCTCGGCCGTCCCGCCCGTTGGCGCGCGCAGCGGAGTGCCCGGGGCCCGGGGGTCAGCGGAGGGTGGCGGGGAGGGGCAGGTGTCCTGGCCGCCTGGGTGTGGCCGGCGCCGCCGGGCCTGTGGGCCCTGATAAGGCTGCGGCACGAGCTAGGCCTCCTGGAAGCCGGGCCTGGCCTGCTGCCGATGCTGGCCACCTGCCAGCACCGGCCTGAGGGGCGCCTTCGCGGAGGTGGCCTGAGGGAAGATGGCCCTGAGGGATGGTGGCCCTAAGGGATGGTGGCCTTGAGGGATGGTGGCCCTAAGGGATGCGTCCCCAACATGGCCTGAGGGATGGTGGCCTTGAGGGATGGTGGCCCTGAGGGAGGGTGGCCCTGAGGGAGGGTGGCCCTGAGGGATGGTGGCCCTGAGGGAGGGTGGCCCTGAGGGATGCGTCCCCAACATGGCCTGAGGGATGAGGGGAGGTGACGCCTGCAGGAAGGTGGCCTGAGGGACACTTTGCAGCCCGAAGGCCACAGCCCCGTCCGTGGGGGTGGTCACGATCCCTGTTAGCAGCGGCCTTTTCAGGTCTCGCTTTTCTCCCCAGTGACAGCACAAAACCTAGAGGAAGGCGGAAGAACAGAGAGGATCTGATGGGGGGCGTCCTGAAGTGGGAGGATCACAGCAGGTCGTGGCTGGCACCTGCTCAGCCGCTGCATCCAAGTGGCCTAGAAGCAGGGTGCCCACTGCCTGCTGCCCACCGCGGAGGCCTAGGTGGGAGTCCTGGCTCCAGGCATCCATGCCAGCCCTGCCCTCCCTGTTAAGGGTGCTTGGGCAGTGAACCACCAAATGGAAGTGCTTCCTACCCACACCCCTGCCACAACACTCCACCCTTCATGTGCACGTCATTAACATCAAACCACTAGCCATCATCCACATGATGAGACTTGAGGAACCAGTCTTTTAAACCCTGGCCAAGTTGGTTAAGCCTTCTTTTAAAAAAAAAATTTTTTTTTTATTTATTTTTATTGAAAGGTGGATATACAGAGAGGAGGAGAGACAGAAAGGAAAATCCTCTGTCTGATGGTTCACTCCCCAGGTGACCACAACGGCTGGAGCTGAGCCAATCCAAAGCCAGGAGCCAGGAGCCCTTCCGGGTCTCCCACATGGGTGCAGGGTCCCAAAACTTTGGGCTGTCCTCAACTGCTTTCCCAGATCACAAGCAGGGAACTGGATGGGAAGCAGGGACACCGGGATTAAAACTGGCAACCATATGGGATCCTGGGTGTGCAAGGCGAGGACCTTAACCCCTACACTATCGCGCTGGGCCCAAGCCTTCTTTTAATCGGGACCATTTGGGGTGCGAACCAGCCAATGGATATGCTCTCGTAACTGTCTCAAATACTTTTTCATGGGCCTTAGGAGAAATCCAAACTAATATTGAGAGCATAGCAAGGAATATGAAGAGGTGGACCACAAAGAGCAAGGACACTGTGACAGCTATGGCTTTCTGGGTGGGACCAGGGGCAGGAGGTCAAGCAGCGGGGCAGGTGTCAGATCCCAGCTCTCTCCTACCCTGCATTTCTGCCGGAGCACCGGGGAGTTGGTGCGTGGGGCTCTGCCCAGAGTTCCTGGCTCCTGACCCTGGGTCATGTGGGGCATTTGAGGAATAAACCAGCAAATAGAAAACAGCTCGCTCTCCTCCCTAGCTGTCTCCATCACTCGACCTTTCAAAGAATGCTTCTTCAAATACAAAAACAGGAAAACACTATGACAGATGTATGATTGGGTGGTCTGAGAGAAACAGGAAGATGAGACTGAGTGAAGCCAGGGCAGCGGAAGGGCGGCGCTGCGGGCGGGGGCAGGCAGGTACCGCAAGGCTGGGTTCTGGCGTAGGCGTGTGTGAGACAGAGAGGAGCCGGGGAGGACTCGGAGCTGCTGGGTCGCAGCAGGAGACACCCCAACCCTGTGTGCCTTGCGTGACTTCAGTATACCCCAATTACGATCCCCCATCCCAAGTTCTCACCCTTGTCCCCTCGCTTCCTTCCCCCACCCTTCTTGCCCTTCTTTTCTGTCTCCACATCTTTAAAATAAATAGTTTCATGTCACTTTTTCTAATGTAACTCTCTCACACTTATAAGGAATTGATAAGGGAGAAGGCATTATTGGGGTTCTTGTTTCTTTTTTTTAATGCTAGTTGCAACATTCTAGTCCACAATTTCATTGAGCCACTGACAATCCACAGTCCATAGCCTGCTTGCCCGGTGCGGGGGTGGTCAGGGCCGCCCGTCTCCCAGTGTTACTATCTCATCAGGGGCCGGACCAGGCCCAGGGGCACAAAGCACGGAGGTCCCAGGCTCTGGTCCACACCCGCTACTCTGCCTTCCCCTTCTGTTGCAGCCATTTGGGGACTGAATCAGTGCATGGAAGATATTTCTGTCTCTCCTTTCTCTGTAAATCTGATCTGCCTTTCCAATAAAAATAACTAACCATTCACCATTGAAACTATTGTGCCAGGCCCCAAATAAATAAAAATCATTAAAAAAAAAATAAATGAAGAGGGCCCAGCATGATGGCCTAGTGGCTAAAGTCCTCACCTTGAACGAGCCGGGATCCCATATGGGCGCTGGTTCTAATCCCAGTAGCTTCACTTCCCATCCAGCTCCCTGCTTGTGGCCTGGGAAAACAGTCAAGGATGGCCCAAAGCTTTGGAACCCTGCACCCGCGTGGGAGACTCGGAAGAAGTTCCTGGCTCCTGGCTTCAGATCAGCAGAGCTCTGGCCGTTGCGACAAATTATGGAGTGAATCATTGGATGAACGATCTTCCTCTCTGTCTCTCCTCTTCTCTGTATATCTTATTTTGTAATAAAAGTAAATAAATAAATATTTATTAAATAAATAAATAAATAAAGATAAGGTCTGGCATAGTAGCCTAGTGGCTAAAGTCCTTGCCTTGCATGTGCTGGGATTCCATATTTCTGGTTCTAATCCCAGCTACCGTTTCCCATCCAGCTTCCTGCCTGTGGCCTGGAAAGGCAGTCAAGGACGGCCCAAAGCCTTGGGTTCCTAAACCTGCATGAGAGACCCGGAAGAGGCTCCAGGCTCCTGGCTTCAGATCAGCGCAGTTCCAGCTGCTGTGACTATTTGGTGAGTGAATAATCAGACACATCTTCCTCTCTGTCTCTCCTCCTCTCTGTATATCTCACTTTCTAATTAAAAATAAATAAATTTTTAAAAAAATCTATCAGCTGGAAATCAAGGTGGCGGAATAGGGTAAGGACACGTTTGGACAGAAAAACATTTAATCAGGATGAAGCAGAGAGGACATATTTCAGGAAACAGGAGAGGACAGAACAACAGCAGAGGGGTACCTGGAGACTGACAGACACAGGAAAGCAGCGGACACAACGGTGAGGTGTTGCAGTGACTGATACTCCAGCAGCATTCAGCTAATGGCGATCTGAACTCCACCAGCAACCAGGTGGGAAGGGACTTACACTGGGAGCTTGGGAGGTGAACACCGACAAAGAACTGTCCGTCCTGCTGGTCCATTTGATTTGACCAGGAGGAGAGACAGAGCAGCAGATCTCAGACGGGCAGTGCGAGAACAGGGTGGATTTCTTAGCCCAGTCAGCCCCCTAGAGCCGAATTGGGCGCCATTTTGCATAAGGAGGAAAGGGCAAGGGAAAGGACTGAGCATGTGCTGAGCTGGGAGTGAGCTCATTTCTGACTCAATTAACTGCAACGACGTGGCATTCTACAGATTCCACCCAAGACAGGTCTGGGTAGCCCTCGGATCTGACGGCCAGCAGATCAAGAACTGTAATGGTGGTGCATCAGGTGCCATTTTGCGTACTGTGGCAATAGCTTTGGGACTGCAGGGGACAACAGTGAACTGCGCACGTGCTGAGCTCACGAAAACTTGCTGAGTTCCGTGGATTGCACTGGTCCCGCAGGAAAATAATTCCGACTGTGGCATTGTACCCATCAAAATAGGTTCGTGTGGCACCCAGACCTAATGTCCAACAGGTTCCAACAAGATCAGCGCCACCAACAACCTAATTTTATAGGATACCCGGTGTCTCTCTAATCCTACCACCTGCTCCAACTGGAAGTGGGAGAAATCTTGCAGAGACAATTGTGCAGCCTCAGCACAGTATCACAGGAGGTGGAGAGTGGTGAGCCAAGAGCTGGGACTGTGGAGACCACGGTGGAAATCTGACATAAGAACCCAGACCTGGAACTCGGTGGAGGTTGTGACACAAGTGGATGCAAGCAAAAAGTTGTGTACCAACTGCAATAAGTAAAATCGCATTGTAGACCTGTGGGTGACACAGCTTAGAAACCTGCCCCAAGAAGAAGACTCTGCTGACCAGAAGTACAATGACCAAGAGCAAAAGAAGAGACAAAGACACAATGAATATTAACGAAAACTCCCCTGCAAAGGAGCAAAACCCTATGCCCACCTCAGAGTTAACTGAGGAAGACATCGAGAAAAGGGGGACACAGAATCCGTAAGACTCATTTTAAAGATTCTGATCAAAAATGAGAAGCTCATGCAAGAGTTCAAAGAATTTAAGGAAGCAATAAAGCAAATCAAGGCTGATATATCAGAAATTAAGAACACAGTAGAGCAAATCAGAAGTACAGAGGAGAGTCTCCAAAATAGAA